CTGTAATAGGTAGAATGTGAAACCTATAAGGAGAATATATGGATGCTTTTCTATTTCTTGTATGTAATATGAGATGTGTAGCCATAATAACGCCTTCTGATGACGCTGTATTTTGATAACTAATAAAAGAGATGGCAGCCTTTTGTTCTCTGCTCTCTCATCACGAGAAACACCTGTCCTTGTGCTTTCTCTAATCTGGACTACTCATGAGAAGCCCACCAGGATGAATGCAACACTGAATGTGAGTTTCACAGACTGTTTGAGACATAAATTCAGAGGGTTAAATTTAAGGTCCTGAACCCACAAACATGAATTCAGACTTCAGCTCTGCATGATTCCAGCCAAACCATAAAGGAAAACTAATTCAATGTGATTAGTTAGCTGTCTATTTCTGCTTCTCATAGTAGCTGCCTTAGGACAAAGCCCAATCAACGGCTGTCCTTTCCTTTTGCTGGCATTCATGATTTCCCCTTTTAAAGACGTAAAAGGCAGGAGGGCATTTGCACATTGAGCTCAAAGTAGAAAACCCAATTATTTTGGCTTTGCATCTGTGAAAAGGGTTTGGTAGTCATACTTTCTAGATAGGAGAGTCAGTTTGATCTAGTGGTGAAGGCACGAGGCAAGAAACTGGGAGGCTGTGAGTTCTAGTCCCGCTTTAGACTGTCTTTCCTGCCTAAAGCGGGACTAGAACTCACAGCCTCCCAGTTTCTTGACTTTGAGTCAATTACCAGGAAAAAGTGAGTTCTAGTTCCACTTTAGCCACAAAAGCTAGTTGTGTGACTTTGGGCCAATCACCAGGAGGCAGTGAGTTCTAGTCCCGCCTTAAGCATACAAGCTGGGTGACTTTGGGCGAATCGCCAGGAGATTGTGAGTTCTAGTCCCAATTTAGGCATGAAAGCCGGCTGGGTGACTTTGGGCCAATCACCAGGAGACAGTGAGTTCTAGTCCCGTCTTATCCATGAAACCTGGTTGGATGACTTTGGGCCAATCACCAGGAGATGGTGAGTTCTAGTCCCACCTTAAGCATGAAAGCCAATTAGGTAACTTTGGGCCAATCACCAGGAGAGGGTGAGTTCTAGTCCTGACTTAGGCATGAAAGCTGACTGGGTGACTTTGGGCCAATCACCAGGAGACAGTGAGTTCTAGTCCCGTCTTATCCATGAAACCTGGTTGGATGACTTTGGGCCAATCACCAGGAGATGGTGAGTTCTAGTCCCACCTTAAGCATGAAAGCCAATTAGGTAACTTTGGGCCAATCACCAGGAGAGGGTGAGTTCTAGTCCTGACTTAGGCATGAAAGCTGACTGGGTGACTTTGGGCCAATCACCAGGAGACAGTGAGTTCTAGTCCCGTCTTATCCATGAAACCTGGTTGGATGACTTTGGGCCAATCACCAGGAGATGGTGAGTTCTAGTCCCACCTTAAGCATGAAAGCTGGCTGGGTGACTTTGGGCCAATCACCAGGAGAGGGTGAGTTCTAGTCCCGCCTTAGGCATGAAAGCTGACTGGGTGACTTTGGGCCAATCCCTCTCTCTCTCTCTCTCTCTCTCTCTCTCAGCCCAACCCACCTCACAGGGTTGTTGTTGTGGGGCAAACAGGAGGAAGAAGATATATCGAACGCATACAGGTGGGGTATCGATCAATAGATAGAAGTACCTTCGACGACCAGGTGGAAATCCTTACGGCTCATTCCACGCCGAGAGCGAGCCTCGCAGGTGTATATCCCTCCGTCCGAAGGTTGGAGTTGCTTAATGGTCAGCTGAAACAGCTCGCTGGTTTGGACGATCCAGTAGCGGGAGTCCCCCAGGCTCAGGGTTTCGTTGTCCTTCAGCCAGCGAAGTTGAGCGGGAGGGTTGGCTTTGACGTGGCAATCGAGGGTCGCGTCCCACTCGGCGGGGATGCCCGGAGGGTCTTCCCGGTTAGGATGGGGGCAACTGTGGAACGCCAGCAAATGGGTCAGCAAAAGAAAATCCAATTATCTTGTTGCCACGTAACTCTTCCCTGCCCGGTGCCCTTTCCAGCAGAGCCTCAGCATTGACACAAAGAGCAAATAGATAATAGATACAAATAGTAAATAGATAATCAACATTATTCTGTTTCCTGCCACTGGATCCAAATGGGAAAATACTATATAAATAATTGCAAAACTAACTTGGTGTTTTTCAACCTTGGGCACTTTAAGCCGGGTGGACTTCGGCTCCCAGAATTCCCCAGCCAGCGTTGCTGGCTGGGGAATTCTGGGAACCGAAGTCCACCCGGCTTAAAGTGCCCAAGGTTGAAAAACAAGTTTTCTAATCAGATTTAAATATCAATAATCTTTTTTTTTTTTTTTTGTGTCTGTGGGGAGAAGGAACAGCTGGCTGGCAATCTGGTTGTGGAGAGAACCCAGCCTCCAATCCTATGGCAATGGGACCCCCCCCCCAGCCCCCTCCTCGGAGCCCCCACCCCACCCCACTACAAGTGACGGTAATCACAACATGATAATTTTGTAATTGTAAATTCTGTTTGGTGCAAAGGAAATCAGAAGCTTTTTCTATTTGTTTCTCCCTCTCTCTATTTCTTTGTTTCTTTCCTTTCTTCTTTTTCAGTCTCATTTTCTTTCCCTCCTTCTCCCTCTTTCTTTCCTTTCTTCCACCCTTCTCTTTTTTTCAATCTCCTGTTTCCATCTTCCTCCCTTCCTTCTTTTCCTCCCTCCCTCCTTTTTTAAAATCCTTTTTTTCTGCTTTTTCTACTAGTTTGCATTAGCATTTTCCCATTTCCTTGCTTCCTTGCTTCCTCCGTTCCCTCCCTCCTTCCTCCTTTTAAAAAATTCATTTTCCGCTGTTTTATTCTACTAGTTTGTGTTAGTATTTCCCATTTCCTTCCTTCCTCCCTTCCTTCCTTCCCTCCCTCCCTTTCTTCCTTCCTCCCTTCCCTCCTTCCCTCCCTTCTTTCCCTCCCTTCCTTTCTTCCTTCCTTCCTTCCTCCCTCCCTTCCTTCCTCCCTTCCCTCCCTTTCTTCCTTCCTTCCTTCCTTCCTCCCTCCCTTCCTTCCCTCCCTTCCTTTCTTCCTTCCCTCCCTCCCTCTCTTCCTTCCTCCCTTCCTTCCCTCTCTCCCTTTCTTCCGTCCTTCCGTCCTTCCCTTCCTTCTTTCCCTCCCTCCCTTTCTTCCTTCCTTCCCTCCCTCCCTTTCTTCCTTCCTCCCTTCCTCCCTTTCTTCCTTCCTTCCTTCCCTTCCTTTCTTCCTTCCTTCCCTTTCTTCCTCCCTCCCTCACTTCCTTCCTTCCTTCCCTCCCTCTCTTCCTTCCTTCCTCCCTTCCCTCCCTTTCTTCCTCCCTCCCTTCTTTCCCTCCCTTCCTTTCTTCCTTCCTTCCCTCCCTCCCTCTCTTCCTTCCTCCCTTCCTTCCCTCTCTCCCTTTCTTTCGTCCTTCCCTCCCTCTCTTCCTTCCTTCCTTCCCTCCCTCCCTTCCCTCCCTGTCTTCCTTCCTTCCCTCCCTCCCTCCCTCTCTTCCTTCCTTCCCTCCCTCCCTTCCCTCCCTCCCTGTCTTCCTTCCTCCCTTCCTTCCCTCCCTCCCTCTCTTCCTTCTTTCCTTCCCTCCCTCTCTTCCTTCCTTCCCTCCCTCCCTCCCTCTCTTCCTTCCTTCCCTCCCTCCCTCCCTCCCTCCCTCCCTTCCTTCTTTCCTCCCTCCCTCCCTCCCTTCCTTCCTTCCTTCTTTCCTCCCTCCCTCCCTTCCTTCCTTCCTTCCTCCTCTCCCTCCCTCCCTTCCCTCCCTCCCTCCCTTCCTTCTTTCCTCCCTCCCTCCCTTCCTTCCTTCTTTCCTCCCTCCCTCCCTCCCTTCCTTCCTTCCTTCCTCCCTTCCTTCCTTCCTTCTTTCCTCCCTCCCTCCCTCCCTTCCTTCCTTCCTTCTTTCCTCCCTCCCTCCCTCCCTCCCTCCCTTCCTTCCTTCCTTCTTTCCTCTCTCCCTCTCTTCCTTCCCTCCCTCCCTCCCTCCCTCCCTCCCTTCCTTCCTCCCTCCCTCCCTGTTCCCTTTTCCTCCCTCCCTCCGTCTTTCTTTTATCCCCTTTCTGCTTTTTTCCCTCCTGGTGGTTTGCCTGAGGGCTTCTGTTCCTCTTGGTACAGGGGCCTATGGGGGAAAAAAAAGTATTTTTAAAAGCCTCGCTCACAGGTGACGTTCAGCAGCACGGAGATCTGGACGGATTTGTTCCGGGCCAGCTGGCAGGTGAAGGAGACGCCGTGGTCCTCGTCAGTGACGGGGGAGATGCAGATGTTGCTGGCGTTGGCTTTGTTCCCCTCCTGCAGGATCACTTCTTGGTCTCCCCGCAGCCACCGCAATTCCTCTTCCTGGCCGGGATGCTTCACGGCGCACCAGAGGGACTGGGTCAGGCCCACCTCCGTCTCCAGCTGGTAGCCCGCCGTGTTGGCGTTGATGGACAGCTCTAGGCCTGACCGTGGGGGGGGGGAAAGATTTGCTCAGAATAACAGAGCTGGAAGGGACCTTGGAGGTCATCTAGTCCAGCCCCGGGCTCAGGAAGGAGACCCCGCATCAGGAGTGGAATCTAACATTTGTTAACTACCGGTTCTGTGGGCGTGGCTTGGTGGGGGGTGGGGTAATGTGACTGGGTGGGCGTGACCAACTTTTTTTTTTTTTAACTTTTAAAAGCATTTTTTTCTACAGCCGCTTTGGCCGAGCTGCCTGATCGTCAGAGGCTTTTTTTTAACTTTTAAAAGCATTTTTTTCTACAGCCTCTTTGGCCGAGTTGCCTGATCGTCAGAGGCTTTTTTTTTACTTTTAAAAGCATTTTTTCTACAGCCTCTTCGGCCGAGCTGCCTGATCGTCAGAGGCTTTTTTTTACTTTTAAAAGCATTTTTTCTACAGCCTCTTCGGCCGAGCTGCCTGATCGTCAGAGGCTTTTTTTACTTTTAAAAGCATTTTTTCTACAGCCTCTTCGGCCGAGCTGCCTGATCGTCAGAGGCTTTTTTTACTTTTAAAAGGATTTTTTCTACAGCCTCTTCGGCCGAGTTGCCTGATCGTCAGAGGCTTTTTTTTTACATTTAAAAGCATTTTTTTCTACAGCCTCTTCGGCCGAGCTGCCTGATCGTCAGAGGCTTTTTTTTTACTTTTAAAAGCATTTTTTCTACAGCCTCTTCGGCCGAGCTGCCTGATCGTCAGAGGCTTTTTTTTACTTTTAAAAGCATTTTTTCTACAGCCTCTTCGGCCGAGCTGCCTGATCGTCAGAGGCTTTTTTTACTTTTAAAAGCATTTTTTCTACAGCCTCTTCGGCCGAGTTGCCTGATCGTCAGAGGCTTTTTTTTTACATTTAAAAGCATTTTTTTCTACAGCCTCTTCGGCCGAGTTGCCTGATCGTCAGAGGCTTTTTTTTTACTTTTAAAAGCATTTTTTCTACAGCCTCTTCGGCCGAGCTGCCTGATCGTCAGAGGCTTTTTTTTACTTTTAAAAGCATTTTTTCTACAGCCTCTTCGGCCGAGCTGCCTGATCGTCAGAGGCTTTTTTTACTTTTAAAAGCATTTTTTCTACAGCCTCTTCGGCCGAGTTGCCTGATCGTCAGAGGCTTTTTTTTTACATTTAAAAGCATTTTTTTTCTACAGCCTCTTCGGCCGAGCTGCCTGATCGTCAGAGGCTTTTTTTTTACTTTTAAAAGCATTTTTTCTACAGTCTCCTCGGCTGAGCTGCCTGATCGTCAGAGGCTTTTTTTTTACTTTTAAAAGCATTTTTTCTACAGCCTCTTCGGCCGAGTTGCCTGATCGTCAGAGGCTTTTTTTTTACTTTTAAAAGCATTTTTTCTACAGCCTCTTCGGCCGAGCTGCCTGATCGTCAGAGGCTTTTTTTACTTTTAAAAGCATTTTTTCTACAGCCTCTTCGGCCGAGTTGCCTGATCGTCAGAGGCTTTTTTTTTTACTTTTAAAAGCATTTTTCCTACAGCCTCTTTGGCTGAAGAGGTTGTAGAAAAACATGCTTTTAAAAGCCTCTGATGATCCCAGCTGAGCCACGCGATCATCAGAGGCTTTTTTTTTTTTTTTACTTTTAAAAGCATTTTTTCGGCTGAAGAGGTTGTAGAAAAAAATGCTTCTAAAAGTAAAAAAACAGTCTCTGATGATCGCACGGCTCAGCTGGACATGGGGGGGGCGCAGGGATTTTTGCTACCGGTTCTCCAAACCACCCCCCCGCCATCACTATCGGATCGAGTGATCCGGTCCGAACTGGGAGCATTTCACCCCTGCCCTGTATACCATTTCAGACAACTGACTCTCCAGACTCTTTTTAAAAGCCTCACATGATGGAGCCCCCACAATTTCTGGTGGCAAGTTGTTCCCCTGGTGAATTGTCCTCACTGTTGGGAAGTTTCTCCTTAGTTCTAGGTGACTTCTCTCCTTGATTATTTTGCATTAACAACTGCATTGATTCGCTTAACAACTCCTGGCAAGAAAGGTCATAAGATGGGGCAAAACTCACCTAACACATTTCTCACTTAGCAGCATAAATTTTGGGCTCAATTGCGCTCGTAAATTGAGGACTACCTGTATTTATTCTTTTAAGGTTTCGTCTCATTTTTATTGATTGTAAATCACCTAGAGTCGCCTTTTAGGGCGGCATAAACAGTTTTTATACTTTTTTTTAAATAATTCCAGCAATGTTACATTTAACGTCATCAGACATCCATACCTGCCTCTCCCAGGTCTCCGTGCAGGTAGTCCTCGCCTTATGACCCCGACGGAACCCAACACTTCTGTTGCTAAGCGAGGCGTTCGTTAAGTGAGTTTTGCCCCGTTTTACGATCTTCCTTGCCACCGTTGTTAAGTGAATAACTGTACTTCATAACACCGTCGTTAAGTGAATCTGGCTTCCCCGTTGACTTTGTATGTCACATGTCCATCCTTTCTAAGGTAGGTGAAATGAGAACCCGGATTGTGGGGGCAATAAGCTGACTTTGTATAAATATACAAAAGTATGAAGGCTATTGCTTAACGCAAAGAGCCTGTAGTACAGTGGACTAAAGCACACTGTTATTAACATCTGCTTGCAATTACTGCAAGTTCAATTCTCACCAGGCTCAAGGTTGACTCAGCCTTCCATCCTTTCTAAGGGAGGTAAAATGAGGACCCAGATTGTGGGGGCAATAAGCTGACTTTGTATAAAATATACAAAAGTATGAAGGCTATTGCTTAACGCATTGTAAGCCGCCCTGAGTCTCCGGAGAAGGGCGGCATATAAATCAAATAAAAAATAAAAATAAAAAAGTGTGAAAAATGGTCATAAGTCTCTCTTTTCAGTGCCACTGTAACTTGGAACGGTCACTAAACGAATGGCTGTAAGTTGAGCAGTACCTGTGGGTGAACACAAATGCCAAATCCAGTCTCAGCATCTGGCTGACTGGGTGACCACTTATAATAACGATAATAATCCCCATTTGGAAAGGATGCCAGTGAACAGCTGTCTGCAAGGAGTATCAATCCTTCCCTTCCCCACCATCCGGTCAGAACTGAAGAAGCTTCTTGGATGAGAAGGGAAACGTTTTCAAAAGAAAAAAAACCAGAAACTCCAGTTGCCTCTTGGGAGGAGGGGGAAAGGCACCTCTGGGACTGTCGTGGCCTGGATGACGGAGAAGCTCCATAGATATTGTGCTTTTCCATAAGGTAACTTGGGACTTTCTTGGTTTTTTTTATTTCCTTTGAAAATATTTCAATTTTTTAATTGCCTAATTTTTTAAGTGTTTTTAAGTGTTTTGTTTATTGTTTTTAATTAATGGGGCCAAATTTATATATATATATATTAACTGTATTTTAATATTTGTACTTGATGTTTTTACTTGGCTGTTCACTGCCCTGAGTCCTCAGGGAGAAGGGTGGTATACAAATTCAAAATAAAATAAAAAAAATAAAAATAAATTTCACTTCTCATCCGAGAAGCTTCTTCAGTTGTGAAGCTTCTGGAAAAGAGCGGAAGGAGCTTCTTGGATGAGAAGCAAAACGTCTTTTTTTTTTTTTTAATTTGATTTATATGCTGCCCTTCTCTGGAGACTCAGGGCGGCTTACAGTGCGTTAAGCAGTAACCTTCATCCTTTTGTATATTTATACAAAGTCAGCTTATTGCCCCCACAAACTGGGTCCTCAATTTACCCACCTTAGAAAGGATGGAAGGCTGAGTCAACCTTGAGTCTTCAAAAGAAAATACAAGTAAGTCCAGTTGCCTCCTGAAAAAGCACCTTTGGGACAACGATGGATGACAGAGAATCTCTACAGACTTTTAGCTATACAATTTGGGATGAAGACCCTTGGAATGGTGTGGGAGTAGGAATGGATTTCCAGAGGAAAAAAATTGCAGACTACAGGAACCATTTGTACCACTAAGGTGGCTCTGAGGACACAGAGAATCCTCCAAGTGGCCTCAAAGACCCTCTAAAACAGTGTTTCTCAACCTTGGAAGCTTGAAGATGGGTGGACTTCAACTCCCAGAATCCCCCAGCAGCGCTGGCTGGGGGATTCTGGGAGTTGAAGTCCACCCATCTTCAAGCTTCCAAGGTTGAGAAACACTGCTCTAAAAAGGATGCAAATGACCAGCTGTCTGCAAGGTGTATCAATCCTTCCCTTCCCCACCATTCGGTCAGAGTTGAAGAAGCTTCTTGGATGAGAAGAGAAACGTCTTCAAAGAAAAAAAACCAGAAAACACAGTTGCCTCTTGGGGAAAAAAAAGCACCTTTGGCATAATCCCCATTTGCATACAAAGAATCCCAACTAACACCTGGCCTATTGGATTCAGTGCTACGCTTACCTGTGACGCCGACGACTCCTGGCACAATGGCTACAACGAAGAGCAACTTTAGGTAAAAGACGCCTTCCATTTTCGCGCCGGTTGCTCAGAACCCGAGCTGGAAAAAAGAGACATGGGGGGGGGGGTGGGGAGCCTCTTAATGCTTCCATGGACTTGAAGGGTCTCCCCAAAATCATCCCAGGTGCAACCCCCCAGGAGAAAAGACCTCCCACCCATCCAATTTTCATTCCGGATAATTCATTGCAGAAGATAATTTTCATTATCTGCAAATTTAAGAAAGCGATTTGCAGATAAACTCCACATCCTGCCGTCCTTCGTGCCACAGGTACCCACTTTGGGGTCTGCTCTCCCCTCTCCAGCAACCGCCTCCCACCCTCCCAGGTTATCAAAGCAGACACTCACACGTAAATGACCGGTCCCCGGCTGTCCTTGATCTGAAAAAGAGACGGCTGTGATCGCCCGTTTTTTATAGGCGTCCCAAGTTAAATGACTTTATGGCGGTGTGCGGAGAAGTGAGTCAGGTGTGCTGAGTTCAAGGTATTGCCCATTCAAGGACTTTCTGGGTAAACACTGGGTAAACTCTTGGGAAGAAACCTGAGAAGGATCGTTACCCATTTATGGGCCCGGTTGGGACAATGAGTAACGAGCATCCCGCTGGGTTACTGGTTTTGACCTGGCGGGCAGCGAGAAATTTTTCAATAGGCTGAACTTTGTCCCTCAAAGAGGACTAGAAACTTTAAGAGAATGAGAGCCAAGGGGTCAATCCAACAGAGCTGTTCAACATCCAGGCCAAGATTTTGGCTGTAACGTAAAGTTAAAGGTTCCCCTCGCACATATGTGATAGTCGTTCCTGACTCTAGGGGGCGCTGCTCCTCTCCAGTTCAAAGCCGAAGAGCCAACGCTGTCCAAAGACGTCTCCGTGGTCGTGTGGCCGGCATGACTCAACGCCAAAGGTGCACGGAACGCTGTTACCTTCCCACCAAAGGTGGTCCCTATTTTCCTACTTGCATTTTTTACCTGCTTTCGAACTGCTAGGTTGGCAGAAGCTGGGACAAGTCACAGGAACTCACCCCGTTACGCGGCACTCGGGATTCGAACCGCTGAACTGCCGACCTTTTTATTGACAAGCTCAGCCACTGAGCCACCGCGTTCCCTTTTGGCTGTAGGATTTATTTTATTTATTGTACAGGTAATACTCGACTTACGACCACAATGGAGCCCCAAATTTCTGTTGCTCCGCGAGACATTTGTTAAGGGAGTCCCCCCCATTTTATGACCTTTCTTTCCACGGTTGTTAAGTGAATCATTCACCGTGGACAGGTTAGGAACATGGTTTATTTATTTATTTATTGGTTCAATTTATATGCCGCCGGCTTACAATGCATTAAGCAATAGCCTTCATACTTTTGTATATACCTGCTTAGTAGGGCTTTCGGACCCCCCCAAGCGGTGTTCTTTTTTATACAAAGTCAGCTTATTGCCCCCACAAACCGGGTCCTCATTTTATGTACCTCGAAAGGATGGAAGGCTGAGTCAACTTTGAGCCTGGTGAGATTTGAACTCGCAGTAATTGCTGGCAGCTAAGTGCTACTTAACAGCACTTTAGTCTGCTGCGCCACCAAGGTTGTTAAATGAATCCATCTTTCCCATTGGTTTTGCTTTCTCAGAAGGTTGGCGAAAGGGATCGTGTGACCTTGGGACACAGTTAACGGTCATAAGTATGAATCAGGGGCCAAGCGTCTTAAGTTTGGATTACATGATCATAGGCATGCTACAAAGTTTGTAAGTTTGAAAAAAATGGTCATCGCTCACTTTTTTCCAGTCCTCTCGAAACCGTCGCTAAATGAACCGGGGTAAGTGACTTGCAACCATTCGTTTAGTGACTGTTCGAAGTTACCACGGCGCCAATCAAAGATAACTCACTTAGCAACAATTGTGGTTGTTTTTTTAAGTCCGGGACTACCTTACAAGGAAGCTCCTGTAAATGTATTTTAATTTTGTGACTGCTTGTCTCCTTGGTAGCCACTAGAGGGAGCTGCAGTTCAGGATTTGGGGTTGCTTTTAATTTTAATTCCTTCATCCTTTTACCTTTACAGGTGAGCATCGGGTTCAAATGCTACCTTGTCATCAGGTTGTTTTGTTGTTTTGTTTTGTTTTTCCTCAGGTCAGAGGAAATCTTTTTCATCAAAACAGAGAAGCAGCAAAGCTACTTATGGGGAAGACCTTGGCATACCAACAAGGTGAGCGAACAACTCATGGAAAGTTCTAGAACAGTGTTTTCCTAAAATTGGCGACTTTAAGACGAGTGGACTTCAACTCCCAGAATTCCTCAGTCAGCAGGGATGTCCAACCTTGGCAGCTTCAAGATCTGTGGACTTCAACTCCCAGAATTCTCCAGCCACCTGTATTATCACTGTTATCCCTATGAAGAGCAGAGAGCTGATGCTTAGCAACGTCTGTCCCAAAGGTGCTTTTTTTCCAGGAGGCAAACTGGATTTTCTTGTTTTTTTCTTTTGAAGACGTTTCACTTCTCATCCAAGAAGCTTCTTCAGTTCTGGCTGGATGGTGTGGAATGGAAGGATTGATGCTCCTTGCAGACAGCTGGTCATTGGCATCCTTTGAGAGTCATTGAGGCCACTTGGAGGCTTATCTGTGTCCTCAGGGTCACCTAAGTGGTGCAAATGGTTCCTGTAGCCTGCAATTATTTTTCCTTTGGAAATCCATTCCTATTCCCACACCGGTCATGGGAATGAATCCTCTGGAAATCCCATCCATAGGGATAGATTTCCAGAGGAAAAATTGCAGGAACCAGGAGCACCACTCAGGTGACCCTGAGAAACCTCCATCTGGCCTCAAAGACCACTAGAGCCTTGGTGGTGCAGAGGACTAAAGTGCTGTTAAGTAGCACTTAGCTGCCAGCTGCCTGCAATTACTGCAAGTTCGAATCTCACCAGGCTCAAGGTGGACTCAGCCTTCCATCCTTCCGAGGTAGGTAAAATGAGGACCCGGATTGTGGGGGCAATAATCCGACTTTGTATATAAAAAAAAGAACATCGCTTGGGGGGGGGCTGAAAGCCCTACTAAGCAGGTATATACAAAAAGGATGAAGGCTATTGCTTAAAAAGCATTGTAAGCCGCCCTGAGTCTCCGGAGAAGGGCGGCAGATAAATCGAACCAATAAATAAATACCAATAAATCTGCTTTATCTGCTCTAAAAGGATGCAAATGACCAGCTGTCTGCAAGGTGTATAAACTAGTAGTGGGTTTCAATTTTTTTTTACTACCAGTTCTGTGGGTGTGGCTTGGTGGGCGTGGCTTGGTGGGCGTGGCAGGGGAAGGATACTGCAAAATCCCCATTTCCTCCCTTATCAGCTGGGACTCGGGAGGCAGAGAATAGATGGGGGTGGCGCCAGTCAGAATTTTTACTACCGGTTCTCCGAACTACTCAAAATTTCCACTATCGGTTCTCCAGAAGTGGTCCGAACCTGCTGAAACCCACCTCTGGTATGTATGTATGTATGTATGTATGTATGTATGTATGTATGTATGTATGTATTTATTTATTTATTTATTTATTTATTTATTTATTTATTATATTTCTATACCGCCTTTCTCCCATAGGACTCAAGGCGGTGTACAGTCAAGAAAAATATAGATACACAAACATCATAAAATCGCTAATTAAAATTATTATTATAACATATTATACCTCTGGTATAAACCCTTCCCTTCCCCACCATTCGGTCAGAGCTGAAGAAGCTTCTTGGATAAGAAGTGAAACATCTTCAAAAGAAAAAAAAAACCCAGAAAAGTCCAGTTGCCTCCTGAAAAAAAGGAACCTTTGGGACAACTATGACCTGGATGACGGACAATCTCTACAGACCCTTAGCAATGTCTCTTTTGTTGGAGGGAATCCTCGTAAAATAAGTAATATTTTAAAAGAAGGCATGCCGGACTGCACAGGGAAGCTAAAGGGTTGTTAACCGGGGTGTGTGAAAATTCTTATTTTCTCTTTTGGTCTTCTTTGTTTTGAAACACTTGGCAGCAACAGGTAGGAAAAACTGTGTGTGTGTCACCCCCACTGCCCTCTCCAACTTTCACAGCAGTTATGGTCTTAGCCAGAAGACGTCTCGAAAGAGATTGCAGATTAATAAAAATAAAACAATCCAGGAACACAGAAGCCAGCAAGAGAAACAGAACATGCTCTGAGAACATTATTCCAATATTTAATAATTCCAATATTTGAGGGGCTGCCCCAGAGAGGAGGAAGGGGGTCAAGCTATTTTCCAAAGCAAAAGGAAGGAAGGAAGGAAGGAGGGAGGGAGGGAGGGAGGGAGGGAAGGAAGGTGGAAGGGAGGGAAAGAGAGAGAGAGAGAGAGAGAAAGAAAGAGAGAAAGAAAGAAAGAAAGAAAAAGAAAGAAAGAAAGAAAGAAAGAAAGAAAGAAAGAAAGAAAGACATCTGAATGAACCATAGATGGACAGAAGACATGGCTAGTCTAGTGAAGAGAAGGACCAGGGGAGACAGGAGAGCATCTTCCAGTATTTGAGGGGCTGCCCCAGAGAGGAGGAAGGGGGTCAAGCTATTTTCCAAAGCAAAAGGAAGGAAGGAAGGAAGGAGGGAGGGAGGGAGGGAGGGAGGGAGGGAAGGAAGGTGGAAGGGAGGGAAAGAGAGAGGAGAGAGAGAGAGAGAGAGAGAGAGAAAGAAAGAAAGAAAGAAAGAAAGAAAGAAAGAAAGAAAGAAAGAAAGAAAGAAAGAAAGAAAGACATCTGAATGAACCATAGATGGACAGAAGACATGGCTAGTCTAGGGAAGAGAAGGACCAGGGGAGACAGGAGAGCATCTTCCAGTATTTGAGGGGCTGCCCCAGAGAGGAGGAAGGGGGTCAAGCTATTTTCCAAAGCAAAAGGAAGGAAGGAAGGAAGGAGGGAGGGAGAGAGGGAGGGAAGGAAGGTGGAAGGGAGGGAAAGAAAGAGAGAGAGAGAGAAAGAAAGAAAGAAAGAAAGAAAGAAAGAAAGAAAGAAAGAAAGAAAGAAAGACATCTGAATGAACCATAGGTGGACAGAAGACATGGCTAGTCTATTGAAGAGAAGGACCAG